CAGTTGAACTAGAAATGCAAATCGAACCAATGAAAAGAGACCCCATTCTTGGGCCGATGACCTATCCAACCTTACGGTGATTTTGACAGGCTTCGTCGCTTGCATTGCAGCCCATGCACGGAACCCACAGATTTGCCGAACCGGTGTCGAACTGCACTCGGAATTGCTGTTCAGGCGTTCCGATATAGATGAGTCCGTAATAGGCCATCTTAATACTTAGTGTATTGGGTAGTTTTTAAGGAAAATTTCTATGAATGTCTCCCTACATTTGAGGAGTAAAGGAGGGGTACGCTGAGGCCCGTCGCATTGGTCGCATTGGTAGCGTTGTCCGAGGCAAACACGTAGCCTTCAATGTACTTTTGCTTCAGGAATTCGGCAATCGCGTTCCCATCAATAGATTTTTGTTTGTAGGCCGATTTCAGCACGGGCACCCTTTATGGAAGGCCGTTATAAAATTTCATACTAACTCGTGTTGGAAGCAGAACTTACCGCAAGAGTGCGTTGATAGTTGCACATATTGCAAGAAGGATGAACAGGAAATGTTCTTTCATAATCTGCTGAGGGAAAATACTATTTTTCAGTAAAAAGCAAAGTCTGTTGAGTCTGTCCAGAAAGGAAGCTGGTTAAGAAAGTAGAGAAAAAGAAATAAGTTCTGGGATTGGAGTTTTTTGTGAATTGGCCTAGGTCTTTGCTTGTAGTTATTTTTCTTTGATTCGCCTACATAGGGTAGCTTAGAAGAGGCTGAAATTTATTCGAGTTCTCGTTAAGAAAGAGAGTGCTTGACTTCCCAAGAGAGGTTTTCTTCTCATGAGAATTCCAAGCTGGCCCTATGGAACACTGATGTTTTGAAAATAAGGGTTTTAACATTGGGGTTCTTAAGTTTTCCAAGTTTTTAAACTGAGTTAAGTTGACCAGAACCTGCAAATCATAAAAGAAATGGGGAATGGGCCTTGATTGGGAATGAAGACTGATATTGAGGTGAATTGGTCGAAACAAGGAGAAATCACGAGTTCCAATGGGGGGTAGTTCAGCATGGGGAAATTCTACTGAACTGATAGCCTCATTAGCATTCAGAAGCTTTTATACTGAACTAGCCCTGTTGTTGTCTTCTTTTGAGCTTTAGACCATAATTAAATTTCTATTATATAATGCCGAAAGTCTAGTTTTTCGATCCAAGTTGACTATTGTGAAATAGTCCTGCCATGTTGGATAATGTTTAATAATATGTGTGCTTCAAAGCTTAGCGGATTGGAATTGGGCGAAACAAGCATAGCAAAAGCGGGAATGGAAGGAGAGAGGTAGTTTGGTTCAGCGGCTAACTTGCGTTGAGAGTTGATCTGTCAATGGTTGAATCGAAAATCTCTCATGATACAAGGATTGTTGTTCTTTTCATCACCCACACTGAGGAACTCAACATTCTCAAAAGCCCGATGCGCGATAAAATTGGTACCCGAAACTTCTCATTAGGGAGAACCTTAGACAGACCTTCTAGGATTCAAGGCTGTCGAGTCCAAAGAGCCCAACTGGTACTTAACTGACACTCCGTGATAGCTTACAATTGAAGCTTATTCTAAGCTCATGCTAGTTGAAATAGCCGCACGATAAAGCAGCTTACATATGAGAATAAGTTATTTTTCAGAACACGAGTAATACACCATACTCAATAACAGCAACTCATTTCGTAGTAAGTGAAGAATCACCCTGCTGCTCCAACAAGTT